TAAACCCAATAAGGAATATAAATTTAGATTTTTCATACTACCCCAACCATGAACTAGTATACGGTTTCGGCCAACGGTTTATAGCATCAGTCATGTATGCCCAGCCTTAAACCCCGAAGCACCAATCACTGGACCATGTCAAATCACCACAGCCCTAAAGATTCGAAACTCTCCAAGCAATTTGTCCAAGCCTGAGAGCCCAAAGCCTTGTTTAATGGGCCCTTAGCTTCTTCCATCCTGGAGACAGATGCCAACCCCTGAACCCGAAAATCCTAAGTAACTATAACGGCCCATAACCCAGCCTCCATTACCCTCCATTGGACGCCAGAAGCCCGCCGTTAAGGACCACATGTCCGTCAAGGGTACCATGGAGTCGTAGAGGTCCTGGCAAACCCAAAATCCCGGCAACCGAAACCTTGACCCAAGCGCCCAACCCTAACACTCCAAGCGCTGAACCCGAAGACCCAAACAGTAAGACCCCATAGCCTAAATCCCAAACCCTGAACAATAAGACCCCAGAGCTTCAACAGTTGACCTCAAGCCCTAAGACCCCAAACCCTAAGACCACAAGCCCTAGCCGTAGGACCCCATAGGACCCGCTTAGAGCCCGGGGCCCTAACAGATCCCGCTATAGATGCCTTAATACTTACCAATGCAATTTTGGGGGATTCCTTATTAAAGTTATACAGTTTGATATACCCCAAAACCCTGTTGCAAGTATTAAGGCGCCTATATCAAATAGGAACGCTTTAAGAGCACCGGCTTCAGGGACGAAGAGGGGGAGCCCAGCGAGGCAGCGGAAGCCGAGAAGGAGCCAGCGGAGAAGGTAGGGGCACACAAGGACTACTACTACTACTACTACTACTACTACTACAGTAGTACCGTTCTGGTTTTTCGAGTTCTCTAACCGTATGAAACTGATTGTGCTGGCATGCCATATTGAGCAGTATTATTCTTATTCGTAGTACCATTATCATTGCCATCAGAATCATAATGAGAATAAGGTTAGGGTTAGTTTTACTATATTTTACTATAGGTTGCCGCCATTTCCAGTATCACAGGTATTATACTATTGCCGTTATTTGGGTTATTACCACTGTTCTTATATTTGTGCATACCATTATCTATTATGTAGAAGCATTCGTTTCAGTATGGTTACTCTTCTTATCCTTATCCTTATTCCTGTTCTTCTTCTTATTAAAAATGTCAGTGTTATTAGTATTATTCTTATTATTGTTGTTCTTCTTTTTGGTAACTATCATTACTGTTATTAATCCTTGTTTTTGGTACAACAGTGACAGAGCTAAGCCGCATCATGTTTTGGTGCATCCCCCCTCCACAACTTTGTGGATTCGCGCATTGAGGTTGCAAGAGCATGGGCTGTTGGGATTACAGGGCCAACGGCTCTTTCTTTGGTGAGCCATTCTCGTGGTCAGAGGAGGACGATATGACGAGTAATCTGGAAGTATTGTGAACCATAAACCCTAAACCCTAAACTCTAATGGAGCTTGTGCTTGGAGGATCATGGGACTTAGTAAGTAAGGTTATAAGTCCCTGAATTGGGGTTATAAGTATAGTTACCTTAGTTATAACCCCACTCACTAAGTCCCATGATCCTTTAAGTAGCTAAGGCGCTCAAGGGGGTTCAGTTCAGGGCTCAGTCACTTCTAGGGCTCTCGATAGGATCTTGAAGTCTCGCAGGGTTTCTTATCAGGGTGTTGGGCTTTAGGGATTGCTTAGCAGCGCTTAGAGTTTAGGGCTTGGTCAGGGTTCAGGTCCAGTTCAGGGCTTGTGAATTGAGAAGCTGGGGATTTCAAGTCAGGTTCGTTTAGGGTTTAGGGTTTAGGGTTTAGGGTTTAGGGTTTTGTTTGAACCTGGGGGCGCAGAGCACATGTTTGTTTAGACCAGCAAGCGCAGACACGTGATGCGCTGTCGAAATCCGGCTCTTTCGAGGAGCGTCTTCAGTTCGTATCTGCAACAGGGCTTTTGTGTTTCGGTGTTTCTCCCGGACAACGAAGCTTCAACCCTCTACTCTGACACCCTCAATCTTAAAATCCACACCGCCCAAACTTTAATCCCTAAGATTTGTGCCTGAATGCTTGCAAAACGGTTTTGAACCGTGGTTTCGACAAGGGTATATTAAACAAAAAAATACACACCCCAAACTGCTGGCGATATCTGCTCCCTGGAGGCCGGAAAACCGTAAACCCAGAAACCCCCAAAACCCTGAACCCTAACAAAAGCCCAAACCGTTCTTGTAATTGCAGAGCCCTTAGTAAGCTTGTAGAACCCAGATAGAACCAATATAGCGACCACAAATCCCAAACCCTCCGCTCAGGCTCCCACGGTTGACGCCGAAGGTGTTGCTGTAGAGCAGCCGCTGGTGCTGCGGCCTTCGGCACCGGCACAGGCCACAGAAAAGCCACAAGGTTCAGGGTTTGGGGTTTAAGGGTTTGG